ATGTGTTCCCTGAGACCCACTCCCCACCACCACTCTGTATGATGATGCAAAGCAGAAACCAATGCAAAAGCGATTGAACACGTGCATACACACCCCAAAACAAACTGGAATAACAACAAAGTGAAGCAAAACAAATAACAACAACAAAAAAAAAAAAACAAGAAAACTAAACACACACACACATGCCTAGCACAAAGTAAATAGAGAGTTAAAACAGAAAGATCAGAGGAAAATTTAAAAAGGAAAAAAAGGGATTCGGGTCAAACCCTCACACATATATTGACACACACCTTAAACTATAAAAAATGAATATAAAAAAACCCCCAGAAGAACAAAAGAGCAAAAACCAACAACAACAGCAAAATCAAAAGATGAACATTCAATCATCTACATACACATATAAACAGAAAATGACAAAAGAAGAAATAGAAAAGAAAAAAATTTTTTTGGGGGGGATGCAGATCAAATCCTCACATACACATTCATGCACAAGAAAAAATATTTTAAAAATAGATGAACTAATAAACAGTCCAAAAATTTTTTTAAAAATTAAAAAAATAATTGAAAATTGAAAAAAAAAAACCTGCCCTCTTGTGGCAGGCTCTGTAATTGTTCCTCTAATCAGGTTTCTCCTGCAGAGCCACCTCTTTCACTCTCTCCTCAGTATTTGAAGCAGGGAAGGAGGAGGAGTAGTGAAGGTGGGTGGGGCTGCAGGCCTCCCCTCCCACTCTTGTATGGTCAGGGAGCTCTCCTCTGGTGAGGAGGTACGGGATTGTCTCTTCCTCAGATATGTACTCTCACCAGGGTTGCCCCAGCCAACCCTATCCTGGAATGGAGTTCTCCTATTGTGACTGACATTCAGCTTTGCCTGGGTTTGTCCCTCTCAGTCCTGGCCCAGCTGTGTGGGTCTGATGTTCAGAGGACGGGTGGGGAGGAGGGGCTTTGGGTCGGCCTGGACTCACCACTGATCTCTTTGGAGTCCTTCCTCGTCCTTTTCCAGCCATACCCTTTGTTGGGTCACACTGGATTGGGATGGGGGCGGGGTACCTGGAACTCAGCATTCATCGGGTTCCTCTGAAGTTTGTGCTTTCAGGATATTCCCCCTGGGCCACAATCAATCCCTGAGTAGTTGATTCGCCAGTCACAGAGATCACGTCTGTTGCTCCGTGGTGAGCACATTGAAGCACTTTCCTGCTCCATCTTCAAGATTGTGGTAGAGTCCCTCTCTCATTCTCTTCCATGGGAACTTGCATCTGTACTCCCTCTGCAGCCCCTGCCAGAGCCCTGCCAGGTGCTGAAGCAGTGAGGCAAAGCCAGGAGCTGGCAGTCTCTCTCCTGCTTCAATGGTGAGGGAGAGACTGGGGCAATAGTTTCTCCCCACCGCTTTTTCAAAGGAAAACTTCTGTCCATTTTTAAAAAATGGTGCTCAGCTTCTGCAACCTGGGAAGAGCTATGGACGAAGTAGAGAAGTTGCAACACCAGCTGTTGCACCAGGGACCTGGCCACCCTCTCACGAGCCCCACTTAGACAGTCTCTCCCAGCATTTTCTTCCCAGGGAGAGTTTGTTGATTAAAAAAGAAAAGAAAAAGAAAATGGTGCTTGACTTCTGCATCCCAGGAATTGCTGGGGTCCAAGCCTAGCCACTGTGGCACCAGTCGCTGCACCAGGAAAGGCCCAACCGCCAGCTCCTTAGCTCTCACTCAGTCAGCCACTCACACACCCACTCGCTCACCAGCACATACACAAAATTTTTCATAATCACTCACTCACACGGGGACTTGCATAGTCCGAATGACTGGGCTGCCATCTTCCCCCTCCCCCAACTTGTTTTTATTATGTTTCCTTTTGCTTTGTACTGATGCCTGAGCATTTGGTGGATCAGCACCAATTCCAAACTTTATGGGCTTGTTTCTGTGGGAAAATACCTTCCTGTATGGGAGCGTGCAAAGGTGCTGATGGGAGGAAGCAGCAGTTCTAACCCTGGTGAGAGCACAGCTATGTAGTCTCCATGCAGATCTGTCAGATGGCATTGATTAAGACTGCAGGGGTCCTAAGAGGCCAAAGTATGGGTGTCGACCAGGGCAATGAGGCTGTTGAGGATTTTAGTCACGATGACTGCCAAGATACTCCAGGTCTCATCTTTTCCCACCTGGGAGGTCATGACAGAAATCATCCCTCCTGGCACTGGGTCTGCTTAAAAGTTTTCTCACGGTGGTGGTGGCATCAGTGTCTGATGATGAGTGCCATGGAGTGACCACAGAACCAAGACTTGAAGCACAGGCAAGTGGAGGAACTACAGTACTGGGTTCAGGAACAGCAACGGCATCAGTGCTCAGGGAACAGGCATCCCTACTGCCACACTGGTAATAGTGTTTAAGGTGCAGATGCTTGTGAAGTAACTGAGAAACCAGGGACTGGAACATGGGCATGTGCAGAGCTGCAAAGATGCTAGAGTCCAGGGTGTGAGGTAGCTTTTCTTGGTGACTGAGCTGATGACTGGAGCATGGACAGAGAGACCTAGACTCTGGGGCCCAGGGTGTGAACTGGTTCACCATTGTGGAGGTGCTCGAGTTTGAGTTGTGGGAATGTACAAGGCAGTCTCAAAGTCAGAGTCTGGAGTGCAGGTGTGCACATTACTACAGCAGCTCCGGGATCCAGGACATGGAATATTTCTCTACAGTGGCTGGACCGGTGTCTAGAGCATGAGCCCTCACAAAGCAACCTTGGTTCAGTGTCCCTGGGTGAGAACTAACTCACAATGGCTCCAGTGTCTGAGGCATGAGTGAGTAGGGTAGCCACAGAGCCAGGGTCTAGAGTGTGAACACTCTCAGAGTAGCCATAGTTCAGGAGTTAGGGGCACGTATGGGGTCATGAGACGTGGCAACTGCAGCCCCAGTACCAGAGCAATACAATAGCAGCTGCTTCTGTGTGTGCACTCATATCTCCCTCTCTAGGGTTCTGCTGTGGGAATGGCTTTTGGTTTCCTCAGTGGCAAAAGATGTCAGTGTCTCAGCAGAGCAGACCACTGAAGGCCATAGTAGAGTAGCTCCCACCGCATGACTGACTCTGACAGCCTCTGCCTTTCTTGTTTGTTCCTAGCTGTTTCCAGGCATCTCACATATGCCAATCTCACAAGTGATCCTTTCTGTGCAATATTCTCTGTTGTTTTTTGCTCCACTGTGGTGTTCCATATTCTTAAGTAAGCCTTTAGTTGATTTTGGCTTGTGGATAACTGCCTATATTGCTTTTTCTGTGGGGCGAATGAAGGGTGGTATCTCCTATGCCACCGTCTTGCTGATGTCACCTCCCTAGGAATCTTTTTCTTCTTTCCTCATGCTCACTAAAATTTAACATCATTGAACTTAAAAATACTTCTTATCAATCAAACATACTATTTTTGAACTTGCTATCAATAAGAAGCTTTTAGTCTACATAGCACCCTCCCTCATCTTCATCTGAGATTTTTTTTTTATGGGACAATGACAAAAAGGGGGACTGGGGAGTGAAAATAAAAACAGAGGTAAGTGAGAGCAATCTTATAAAAATAGTAGCTAACATTTCTACTGCACTTATAGCATGCCAAGTATTGATCCAAACACTTTAAATGCATTTAATTGTCTTAACACTTCTATGCATTTGGTGACTGTCACCCTTAATTATTCACATAGCTGAGGAAATTGAATCATAAGGAGGCTAATAACCTGCCCAAGTCACAGCTGGTAAGTGAGGGAGCCAAGCAGCCTGGCTCTTGGGTCTGAATTCTGCCTGCCTGCATCATGCTGCCTTGAAATTCCCCATTCTTCCCTCTCCCTCAACTTCCCTTATTTCCCTGAGATCATTCCTTGATCACCAACTCCTTCACCAGCCTTGTGACTTTTACTATATAAGTAATTCCTTCCCCTTGGTCCCAAATTCCAAAATACAAATGCAACCTCATGCTCCTTAATTCGTCTTCACCTGTAGACTTCCTTCTAAATCTTTCTATTTTATTCCATTTTCAATCTATCCATGAGATTGTTTACAAGCTGTCACAATTATGAAGTGAATGGAGAATAATGCCTACTACTGTACCGCTAGTATTCTAAGAGGATACATTCCTTATGGCTTTCTGACTTGATACCAAATGACTGATGCTTAATTTTTCTGAGACCAATCTGAAAAGTAAAAATAATAGCTAACATTTAAGTGCCAACTGTGTGACAGAAATTAGTTCAAGCACCCTCCATATATTAACTTATTCGATCCTACAACAACCCTGTGAGGTAAGTTCTGATTCACAGTTGAGAAAACAGAGGTATAGAGAGTTTGAATAATTTGCCCTATCGCTAGCCAGAGGGGGAACCAGGATGAGCCTTGGGCAGGTTTGACAGCACTGCCCACATCTTTACTGCTGTGCTAACAATTTTTCAGTCCTACACACTCCATGGGAAAAGGAAAACTAACGCTTCCATTTTTACATCTTTTTGTTTCTGATATAAGAAGCAGAGTTCCTTTCAAATGACCCGAGCATGTTTTATATGTCATTTCAAAACTGTTACCAACAGTCTTCCCCAAATGCCAGAAAACGTTCAGTGTCTTTTTCCTTTTTCAGTTAACTATTATTATTTTGCTTCTATTTTTTTCTCTTTTGCCTCAAAAGGCTGCTGGAATAGTAAACATTCACTGACATTTAATAATAACTAGAAAACTTACACCAGGACATTATGATTAATACAAAGCATATTTTCCAAATTTACGACCCTAAATTGGGGCTCATGTAATACTCAAAGGAAATCTGATCCCTGGGGTGGAGGTACTGTTCCTGCATTGCTCAGCCCGGGATGCCCATGAGTGATTCACACTTGTCCCTGTCTCCAGACTGTCTCCAGTGGAAGAAGGTGACCCCCTGACCCCTTGGCAATGGCTGTATCTAAGCTGCCAACATTGCTCCTGCATTATCAGCACACTAACTTAATGGGAAGGGCTGTGGTGAACTTCTGGAAAGTGAATAGGAAGTTGTTTTTCTACACAGCCTGACACTGAGGGAAAGTGGTAAGCTATAAGAAGCCTGGTTGGGCAGAAGGCAGAAAACCCGCAGACTCACAGAGGAGATGGTGAGTTCCTTTTTTTCCTTTTTCCTTTGCATGGGAAGTGGTTGGAGTTGAAGAGGTTTGGAACTGAATCAGGCAGGTAAAGGTTCAGAATGTGAAGGAAAATAGCCGTGAAGTTTTATGTTGAGTCGCCTGTTAAGAGTTTGCAAACCTTTCTTTTTTTTAATTATAAAGATGCAGGGTACAATTCAGGGTTAGGTATACAAACGTTGATGCAAACACTTTTAAACCTGCTGGCCACTTTAACCCCTCAACATCCTTGTGTGTTGATGCTGTTATTTCTGTTTTACAAATAAAGACTTTGTGGCTTACAGATGCTAGGTGTCTTATCTATGCTGCACTGTTAAGCTACTAAATGATGTCATGGTCTGGGTCCTGTCTTGTGGCTCCACAGCTGCTGTTCTTCTTACTGGAACTTACAGAAACCTTCTAAGAGTAGATCTTGGCAAACCTGCCTCTCACTTTTTCAGGGTTGCTCTTCTCTTATCACTGTTTTATCCAACATAAAAACTAAACTAAAAAAAAAAAAAAGGCTGGACTCAGTGGTTCAGCCTGTAATCCCAGCTCTTATCCCAGTATAAATAGAAGGCTGAATGAGTGCCCGGGGACATTTCTATAATCGAACAGTTTCTCATCCCCACCCCTCCTATTTCTCTTTGTGAACCCTGTAAGTCTTCTGAGACTGATCTGGAATATTCATGAAGTCTCAATTTCTGCCCTAAGTCTCAATCTTATTAGTGGCTTAGTTTCTTCTTCTAGAAAATGAATATAATAATAGTTCTCTACCTTATAGTGTCATTGTGAGAGCTAAATAAGACTATACTGAAAAGCAGTTAGACCTGAGCCTAGTACACAGTAAGTAATTAGTAAATGTTAGCTGTTATTGTCACAAGAAAGAGAAAATTCTTGGGGTATAATGGGGTTTGGGATCCAGGGAAAATTCAAGGATAACTAACCATTTTGAACTCAGTGTTATCCTAGATAAGATGCAAAGGAGCTGGTGGCTACAGGTGGCTCAGCCTGTAACCCCGCGCCTTTGGAAGGCTGAGGTGAGTGGATTGCCTGGGCAACTTGGCGGGTTCGAGACCCGCCTGGGCAACTTGGCGAACCCTCATCTCTACAATAAAAAACTCAAAAAATGAGCCGGGCATGGCAGCGCGCTTGTAGTTCCAGCTACTTGGAAGGCTGAGGCGGAAGGATCGCCGGAGCCCAGCAGGTCGAGGCTGCGGTGGCCAGGAGCAGCCACTGCACTCCAGTCTGGGTGACAGAGTGAGATTCCAACTCAAAACAAAAAACAAAACAACAAAAAAAAGGTGCACAAGGTTATGCTACTTCTAATTTTACTCCCAAGTTTTCAAGAGTATCCTATATAGTCCTAGAATCCCAAATCTTGCAGTCGGCTAGAGAGGAGCCAGACAGGTCTCTGCATTTGGGCACCTTTCTATGAGATTCCAGGAAAAAAAAAAGCTAGTGCTTATACCTGATCCATCCCACCTCTTTGCTTTACTACAGCACACTTTTCAAATATAATGAGATTTTTGGTTTTTTTGAGTTGGAGTCTCACTCTGTCTGTTGCCCAGGTGGCACACTCACAGCCACCGCAATGTCAACCTGTTGGACTTCAGCGATCCTTCCACCTCAACCTTCCAAGTAGCCAGAACTACAGACGCACACTACCACACCCAGCAATTTTTTTTTTTTTTAATTGTAGAGATGAAGTCTCGCCAAGTTGCCTGGGCTGATCTCAAAACTGCGGGCTCAGGCAATCCACTCGCCTTGGTCTCCCAAAGAGCTGGGATTACAGGCTGAACCACTGAGTCCAGCCTTTTTTTTTTTTTTAGTTTAGTTTTTATGTTGGATAAAACAGTGATAAGAGAATGATGAAGAAAACAGGAAGGAATAGAAGGCTGAACTAAATTTGAACCACAATGACATAAGAATGTGGTTACTTTTGTCTTATCTTTTGCATGCCATGCTTCTGAATTGGTCCACTTAGTTGAATGAGCAGTTGTTTCTCTCTTCCTTCTATTCTTTTTTGGTATCCTCCTCTGTTTCAAAGATATAAATATATTGGATCATGGAGTTCTCTAAAAATCTGATGAAAGCTACACCTCCTCTTTCCCAGATGAAAATGCAAACATCCCCATAAACACCAACCTTTATAGATAACCACTGGGGGTTCCCAGATCTTCATCTGGATCCCAGGGTAAGAACCCCACTCTATCGGCTCCTAGTCTCGCTTCACCTAGCACCTCGAAACCAGGCTGGAGCTCTACAGCAAAGTGCTAAGGACTCTAGCCCCAGAATAGTTTACACTATTTCACAGGCAGGACCTCCTCCTTTTCCTCTGAACACATTTCACCCTGAAGATTCAGAAACCTCAAACTGCCTGTGTTAAGTTCAGAAGATTCAGATACCTCAAACTGCCTGTGTTAAGTTCTGCTTCAAGTTCAGAGTGGCTTCAGTTAACTTCTAGGACCTAAGAAAATGAAGTTAAGATTTGGATGGTGAGGTGTTTCCAGTCAGACAGATCTCAGAGGAAGAGTTCTTGATTGGGAACTTCACCACACTGATGTCAGCAGGCTAAGAAGCAGGTCCAGATTCTCTTCCTTGTATACCTCTTAAACACCTTAGGTCTGTGGCTTCTAGTTTTACTGTTACTTCTATTACCTATTTTTTGAAATACACCTAAAAAATTCAGACCCTCCTGGGCTGACCACCAGCTCTTAGAATGGGCGTCTTCAGAGTTCTGTAAGCTGATACTTACTAACCAAATCCTCAAAAATCAAAATGGCTTACAACTTAACAGGTGGTACTAACCTTAGCGAGTGCATACCTGGCAGTTTCATAAATGACATTCATTACATTGTGTCCTAGATGTAATCCCTCTGATTGAAAAGCAAAGCAGAAAGTTTATGAAGTCCAATACAGAGCAAATCCTTTCATTTGTAGAGATCATTCAGCTATTGTCCAATGGACTAAAGCCCTTTTAAGCATGGTACTTTACTTTTAATGTTAATATTTCACCCTAAACAATGGAAATCAGTAATCTAATTTAAATACATGCTTGGATTCTAAATGTTGATGTCCAGGCCCCTTCCTGTCTTCTGTCTTTATTTGTAACTTGCTGTTTGTCTTAGAGACGATCTCTTTTTTCCCCACTCTGTTTCCTTTTCTACCTTTAAGCTGGGGCTACTATGTGCTGCGCCACCACCACCACCATCCAGAAACTTAAGGGAATGAATATTACATCAGTGGTAATGCCGTGTGACATCTGGGCTTTGCTACCAACAAGTTGTGTAGTCCTGCATCCTCAATAATTCTCAGGTCTATCTCTCTGCTTTGCATTCCCATTGACCCCTGGCCAAGCTAGGCCCTCTTTAACTCCCACTGGGACTATTGTAATAGCCTCCTCTTTTTGTAGTTCAACCTTCCTGCTCCTGATTCATCAAAAAACAAAAAATCACTGTTAAATGTATCTTTCTATGATGCTTTCTGTGCAGAACCCTGCAAATGGTTCGAGACCCGCCTGGGCAGGCGAGACCTCATCTCCACACTAAATCAAAAAATCAGCTGGGTGTGGTAGCGCGTGCCTGTAGTTCTGGCTACTTGGAAGACTGAGGCGGAAGGATCGCCGGAGCCCAGCAGGTCGAGGCTGCGGTGGCTGGGAGCGGCCCCTGCACTCCAGTCTGGGCGACAGAGTGAGACTTCAACTCAAAAAAAAAAAAAAAATTGTACTGCATATGGAATTTGTGTTAAATGAGTAGAGTTTAGCTGTTCTTGCCCCCCACACACAAGTAGGTAACTATGTGAGATGAAGGATATGTTAATTTGCTTCACTATAGTAACCTTATTACCATATATTCCATAACATCCTATTATGTATCTTAAATACCCATTTATTTTATTTTATTTTATTTTTGAGTTGGAGTCTCATTCTGTCGCCCAGATTGGAGTGCAGTGGCCGCTCCCTGCCACCGCAGCCTCGACCTGCTGGGCTCCGGTGATCCTTCCGCCTCAGCCTTCCGAGTAGCCAGAATTACAGGCATGCGCTACCACGCCCAGTTGATTTTTTGATTTATTGTAGAGATGAGGTCTCGCTGCCCAGGCGGGTCTCGAATCCGCGGGCTCAGGCAATCCACTCACCTCAGCCTCCCAAAGGCGCGGGATTACAGGCTGAGCCACTGAGCCTGGCTGCAGCACAATTTTATTACCTATATCCCTCATGGTATACATTAAGTTTGTAGACTGGTTCATCCTACATATCTGCTACCTTGTGTGGTGGCGGGGAGGAAATGGCAAGAATATGTTTCTTCACAGCTTTCTTATGGTCTTCACAGCATAATACACTTTTACTTAGATTCTGCTGCTGGTGTAGTAACTATGATATACTTAGTTATACTTATCATGTATCTGTCCAACACTTTCTTGTTAAGCACATTTCTCTCTAATTTTGAGTCTGTCCTCTGCCATTATTCATTTGTTCATTTATCTTCAAAATATTTGTTCAGCATTAAGCACCTGCTCTCCCGTGGCTGGGGATTCAGACCTGAGTAGTCCTTGCCCTTGAGCAGCCTGTCAGTAGCTCCCTCCAGCTATATGCTCACACGTTTGCTTTGCATTTACATTGTGGACCTCTGGCTCAGGAGAAAAGTTAGAAATGGAGAAACTGATTAGAGGCCACTGGCACACAGATGAGAAGGAAGCCCCAAGAAGGAGAAGCGAATAGGGTCATGAAGGCAGGAACCCAAAGAAACCCTCACCTCTGCAGGGAAGGCAGAGGGTTGAGGTAGATTCAGAGGGAGACTCAGAAAAATTGCTCAGAACATTAGAGAAGGTTCAAGAGAAGAGCCAAGGGAAGCATTTTAAGCAAAAGGAAGTAGTTAACGGTATTTATTGCTACAGAGAGGTCAAGGACAGGCGATAAGGGTGGAAAGTCTTCATTTGGTTTGGCTATTAGAATGTCCGTGGCTAAGTCAGCAGGAGCAGCTTGGTGGGATGGTGGGGAGTGGGCTGGATTGTAAAAGACAGGAAAGGAAGTGAAGAAAGCCTAGCAACAGATGAAGGGGAGAGGTCAGGCAGTATCTGGGCAGAAGGGCAAAGGGTCAAGGCGGGGACATTGTGCCTTTCTAGAAATGCAGAGCTGTGGTCTACAACATAGCAGGAGAACAGGAACTCCTTTCTGTGGCACTGTTCCTGCCAACTTGGTAAACCATGGGGGATGCTGGCCACCCACGGGACTCCTACTGGCGCCTGCCACCTCTCTCTATGAAAAGCAAGGTCCAGGGGAAACGCTTGCGCCTTCCACTTTCTCTGCTTCTCTCTTCACCCCGCAGTCACTTTTAGTTCTTTAGAAAAATAAAATCAAAGATAACCACCATGCTTAACAAAGGTTTACACAGGCGCAGGATGTTATTCTAATGACCCAGACCCGGACTCCCTCCCAGCAACTTCCAGTTGAACCAATCTGCCAGAGAATGTTAAAGATTTAGCAGAGCACGTGGCTGCTTCTCCTAGAGAGGAATTTCCTCTTGTTCCAACACTTGCTTAGTAATACAGGGCACAGTCCTTAACTCTTTAGCATCCTAGGTCCAGCACCGTCCTGAAGACTATAAGGTGGAGCAGGAGTAGGTGTGATATGGCCTGCCCACCTAAGCAAGTTTCAGAAGGAAAGTATGACTCAAGGAGGGTTTTTAATCCTCATCCATCCTCTGTATCTCCACACAAAGCCCTCATCAGTCACCGACGAGTCAAGGTGCTGCCTTACAATTAAAACAGTGATCTGAACTTGGGGTCCATTAAACATGCAGATGCAGTAGGTCCATGAAACACCTGAAATGGTCTAAAAAGTTTCAAGTGTGCATTTTTTGAAGTCTGACTATGGCTTCTGTCAAAGTTCATGAACCCTGAAAAAATAAGAATCTCCATGTTAACCAGATGTGCATTCAAGTGAACAAGCTTGAGCACATCACTTAAACTCATCGAGTCTCAGGGATGGGGAGTGGTGGTCGCCTATCCTTGAGTACTCATGGTCCAAGGGACCTGCTGCCAAATGCCAGAGAAATGCTGAATTGATTTAGCAGTCATCTTTATGGTCTCCTACAGCTCTGAAATAATCTGTAAGAGGCGACTCTTGGTATTTGGTGATTAAAAGAAACAGAAAAGTATGGTCAGGGTAAGCAGAAGATGTGCATTGGCTTGCATTTTCCTTTCTCAGATCGTGTCTTAATCAAAAGCCCCTACCAGTCTAAAACCTTAACATATTTGCAACTTCCTCTCCCCCCCACCCTGTCTCCCTCTTGGTGTGTTTTGTCTGGTGTGGTAGAGAGTTTGCTGAGAAATTTTTGCTTAAACCATATCTTATTTAAAAATTTAAACAAACAAGTTAAAATGGGAAACAGCTCTGTTTGGAAATTTTGTCAGAACCAAATCTTATTTAAAAGTTTAAACAAACAAACAAGTCGAAACGGGAAACAGTGGGTAGAGCCGGGCACTGTGATGGGGATCAGGAGCCTCCCCTGCTCACCCCCACACCCTCCTGAGCTGGCCCCAAAGCCAGAGAAACCCCTGAAACACTCTGTTCACGGAGCAAACCACTTCTCAGGGGCACAGGAAGAGCACTACTAAATGTAAAATGACAGCCTTCCTCCCCCAGCCTGCCTGAGTAGAAGGCCAGCACAGGCTCAGAAGTGAGCAGTGGTGTCCCTTCATGAAGGCTGCATTGCTGTACACTTCAGAAGCCGTAGCTTTGTTTCTGTTTCTCCAAAAGTATCCTAGAACACTATGTAACCTCTCATATCTTTTTAAGTGGTGATCGCAAATCTTTCATCATAAATTTTAAGAGAAAAGATTGGATTTCCAAGGTTGTAACTGTATTATAAAGGTTGGCCTTTTAAAAAGCTATTACATCATTTCTTAAAGCTTATCCAATGGAATTGAGTGCTAACTGGTGTGATCTGATCATCTTTAGGACTTAAAAAAAAAAGTTCTCAGTAAGAAATTTTACAATAATCATTGTCTCCTTTTTAATACTTTTTTCTGTTCTACTTTCCCTAAGAATTTTAACCTCATACACAACATTGTAGGCTTAAAGTATGTTTTAATTGTCTTTTCATACTTCTTTGCAAAAATAAATATAATACATCAAAATTTGAAAGATTTTAATGTTCTGAAACTGTAAGTCTCTGTGTTAAAATATTTTTTTGAGTTAACATGACAATTGTTTTCAGTACGCAAATAATCTATCATAAATATACTACAAGTTTTGATAAGTAACTTAAACATTTATATTTTTATTTTATTTTATTTTATTTTATTTGAGTTGGAGTCTCACTCTGTCGCCCAGACTGGAGTGCAGTGGCCGCTCCCGGCCACCGCAGCCTCAACCTGCTGGGCTCCAGCAATCCTTCCGCCTCAGCCTTTTGAATAGCCAGAATTACAGGCGCGCTACCACGCCCGGCTAATTTTTTGATTTATTGTAGAGATGAGGTCTCACCTGCCCAGGCGGGTCTTGAAGCCGCAGGCTCAGGCAACCCACTCACCTCAGCCTCCCAAAGGCGCGGGATTACAGGTTGAGCCACCGAGCCTGGCTAAACATTTAAATTTAAAATGCTATTGAAGAAACATCTCTAAATGCAATGAGGGGCTTTTCACCATTCATTTATATATCTATGAATGAATATTATTTATCAACAAAATTAGACAATTTCAACTTCAATCTTATTCCTATACTTTATTTTTTAAGTATTTAAACATTGAGAAACTTCATTCACATGAATAAGTAAATGAAAATACAAATTTCATTACAGCAATGTCTCTCAATTCTTTGAACTCCTTCCAAGTCATATGCCCCAAATTATATAGTGATTTATCATCAACATTTAGTCAAAGCTGACAACTTAGCTGACTCCTCCCTCAAAGTTCATGAAAGGACAGAAATGGAAACCACTAGAATTGAACAAGGATTTGCTACACTATTGAATTATGCTAAAGATGATTCAAAATATTGGTATAGTTATTCAGAATTCAAATTAAGGGGGAAGGCTCCATAGCAAATAAGAGTTAGATGAGTAAAAGTATGATTTTCTCTTGTATCGAGGGAGAAGGGTGTGTTTTTAGGCAGATTGGTTTTAGAAAAGTATACCTGTGAAAGTTGAGAACCTGAATATAGATGTAATTAACACTTTCCTTGCTGATAGAACCCTCAGAAAGCCAGGCTCATCCTGGTTTGAAGACTTCTGCTCCAGCCTTGGAATGGCACTTTTTGGGTATTGTGTAGAAATACAGTAGTAATAATATCTGGAGATACAACACAATGCAGAGAAAATGGTAGGATTATGTCCAAAATAAGGGATTGTCACCCTACTTCATGTGCAAAAAACAACACCATAAATCATAACATTATAATACTCTCAGTATTTAAGCATAGGTCCTGCAGAGGTCAGCTGATGAGTGTCATAGCTTACAAGAACATGAAATGTGCCTCCTTATCAAAGTCAATATTCAGAAGGTCCTAAGTAGAAGGGTGCTGGACTTCTTATACAAAGGTAACCTCCCTCTCTGGGAGACGTGCACTGGTTGAGTTGTGTCCTTCCTGGTATGTGGTCAGTAGAGTATACACACACACACACACACACACACACACACACACACACACTCACTCACTCCATACGGCAGCCTTCATCATCCATCACTGGGTAGCGACCTATGGCAATTCAGAATTTCTATAGAGGAGGAATTTTAGATAGTAATCTGTCTGAAAGAGTGGTAAAGCTACAACTGTATAGAAAATGCACTACTTGTATGTTGGTGGTCATGAAGGGGTGGCTTTGGAGGGGACCTGATGCAGCAGCTAGGCTTGGTCATGTTGCACATTCTATCATTCAGAACAGCAACACAGCGAGGATTGGGAAGCTTGGGGGTTTATAAAAGTAAAAAAGTAGAGTGGAAAGAGTGCTTATTCAAAGTCAGACTCTGCTTCTGTCACTTTGAATATGTTATTCAGATGTTCGAAGCTTTAGTATTTTCATGTGCAACATGAGGAAGTTGGACAAGGCTAGTATCACCAGAACTTAGTTACCTAAAAACATATTTTAAATGTTCATAGATTTAATGAAATCCCAGCAGAGGAAGCTCATGAGAAATACTAGTTGCCATAGACCCAAGGGAAATACGTCTGCTACATATGTTATGAAATAGTAAATATACACACACATATATATATTAAATATTGAATACAACTACAGAGATATGCTGAAATGAAAAAAGCAGAAATATTAACATAAAATAGACATTATTTGTGTGGTTCAAAGAATTCTCATGTGACTTTCTATTGTTCTTGGCTGTGATATGCCAGTTCTTAAAATGAGATAATTGCATAATAATAATGACAGCCATATTCACGTGTTCTGTATTTTTTTAGCATACATATTAAAATGTATCTTAAAATATTGCTGACACAAAGCACTCAATAAAGATTTATTGAATAAGAGAAGAAATGAACTCTGTCTTCAGCTTTGCTACATTGTCCATCTAGGGCAGGACTCAAGCAGGGCAATGAGAAGCAAGGATGAAGCAGAGGGCTGGAATTACCTTCCCAATGGAAATAGGCAGAATTATAACTCAACATAATGATTACTAACAAAATTTTTTGGACCATGTTGGTGGTATATGAATACTAAAAGGAAGTTTTCTTTTTTTGTTTTAGGCCAGCTGCCTAAAAGCCATCTGGAACCAGAGATTCCAGAGAGTGGTATTTGGAACTGCCCAACTCCTTTGCTTCAGTGCCCTGATCTCTGGTAAACTTTATACTAACCCTTCATTTAGCCCTGAGTAATTTGGGAAGAACCCAGAGTCCACTGGGAGAAGTTAAGGATTGTAACCAGTTGTTAGAAGGCATGGGAGAACTGACCAAGCCCAGACTGCTAAAGAAAAAGGGTACCTAACACCGTCATAGTAGTGGAAAAGGCTCCAGAAAGAACCAAGCCTGGAGCCTGCTTGTTGGCTCCACCTCACCGCCCGCCATGTTTGCTTTTGCTTCTGTAATATATATCTAGGACTCATGTATTCATTAGGCACAGGCTCACAATACTGTTAGGGACCCACAAAAATGTTTGAATTTCTTTAAAAATTATTTTCTTTGAGGTCTAAAAAGTTTTAATATATAGTAATACATTCATCTTTCTATCAGTGCAGTTGCAAAATACAATTTTTAGTATATTTTTATGGAGGAAGGAGCCTACAAAGGCAAACTTTCTAGAGTCTGTGAAAGTCTTAACGTAGCCCTGGCTGTATCAGAGTAAAGTCTTAAGGCAAAACTACCCTGAAAATGTCAGAGAGGGAGGTACAAACATGACCAACCTTCATGCAGGCAGCAGAGAAGAGGGTTGACTAGAAACAAGTCTTTATAAACAGGAAAGGAGCCGTTTCCAGGCCTGATTGCTAGCTTTGTACACCTCTTCATGTGGGAACTGGCCTCCTGCCCCAGGCGAGCTCCCACAGGCTATGATAACAATACTTTGCATCATAGAACCTTTATACTTTTGAAGGACACATTCTTTATTTCATTTGATATCACAAACACTTGTAAAGAAGGGCTATTTTGAGCTCTATCTTAATAAATGAGTAAGCAGATGGGGAGGAAGTAATTAATCAAAAAGAAACAACTAAGAGAAATGGAATGAGTATAGATTGCAAAGCAGAAGATCTGATTTCCAACCCTGGCTCTGCCACAAACTTGCTGTATTTCACCCATGCCACAAGTATTTGCTGTAGGCCAGTTAGTGCCAAACTCTATGCTTGGTGCTTAGGATCCAGAGCTCAAAAGAAATCACTATCAGAGATGTGCAGTCTAGCTGATTGGACCCTATTGTAGAAACAGACACTACAATACATTGCAATTAGGGCAATGCAGGCAGGACAGGACAAAGTGCAGGGGGAGCCTACCCCGGCAAGGCATGCAAAGTAGGAGGAACACAGATTGCCAGGCATAAGAGGGGAGGCGGACCAGATAGGAGGAGGAACACGTGCAAAGGCACAGAAGCGAAAGTAAACATGGCGGGCGATGAGGTGGGGCCAACAGGCAGGCTCCAGATCTCCAGGAATCTTATTTTCCACGTGAAGAGGTAGACAACATTTGATGTATCATTTAATTTTGGCTTGGACAAATTACTTACTATGTCTCCTTTTATAGAGGAAATGACCTCTAATCTCCCTTCCAACCCGATATTTTATGATTCCGAATCTTTTACATCCAGAAGCCTCAGAAGAGGACATTTTCCTATTCTGACTTCATGTACACTTTCAAGTGAAAGGTGGGAATCACTCTTTTTTTCTTCAAACAAACTACATTAGACATAAAATAGTCACGTTTGGGGTATTCACCTTTTTGTCATAAATTCATCTGGCTATGCGAAAGCACACTTAGGATCACAGCCTCCTTCTGGTGAGGGATGCTAACCTGGCACTTAATCTCCTTTACTCTAGAATTAACAAACCAGAAAGAAGTGGCAGCGTGGACCTATCATTACAGCACAAAAGCTTACACATGGAATTATTCCCGGGCTTTCTGCCAGAGACACTACACAGATTTAGTGGCCATCCAGAATAAAAATGAAATTGCTTACCTCAATGACGTCATACCCTACTACAGCTCTTATTACTGGATCGGGATCCGAAAGATCAATAATACGTGGACCTGGGTGGGAACCAAAAAGGCTCTCACCCCGGAAGCCGAGAACTGGGCTGAGAATGAGCCCAACAACAAGAGGAACAACCAGGACTGTGTGGAGATCTACGTCAAGAGTCCGCAGTCCCCCGGCAAGTGGAACGACGAGCCCTGCTTGAAAAGAAAGCGGGCACTGTGCTATACAGGTAGGACCTTCTCGATTTGAAACTTGACTGCTCAGCAAAACATAAAAAACACCTTCCTTTGTTGGCCAGTGTAACCTCTGAGTCGATAACATGGAGGCACAAAGACAGGGACATGAAATCAAGGAGTAAACTCAAGCAGCATTATTGAGCACCTGGAAGAATATGATACCAGAATTAGAGAGAATTGATTGTTTGAAACTACAGAGGTATTTTAATATCTCCTGGCCCATTTCTCATCTTATAACTGATAAAATGGACACTCAAGAAGTTTTAGTTTCTCATGGCCATAGAGCAGGACAGAAGTAAAGTTAGGACTAGAAACCAGTCTCCTAAATTTTAGGTCTAGGGCTTTTTATCACCACTACATCCTAGTATAACAGAGAGTATAAATTGAGAGGGAAGTTAACCCAGCCTCTAGAAGACACAGCTATAACTAGTATCTATTGAATGCCAGTATGTTCCAGGCATTGTATTGCTAGTTCATTTCGTTCACATGTCATTTGTTCATTTAGTATTAGTTGCATTCAGTCCTCATGACAACATCAATCAGGTTTTTCTATCACCCTTATATTGCTGAAGAGGGAAAGGCCTTCAGAGCTACTAAGTAATCTGCCCAAGGTTCTCGGCTAGTTGATGATGGAGCCAGTTTCAAACTCATGTTGACTCTAGAGTTGGTGTTTCTAGCCATGTATGCTCCACATTTTCATGAGACAATAGGAGGACATGACCAAGGATCACAAATGCTTTACAGATTATCTTCAACAGCAACATAACTTCAGGTTCATTGCACTTTGGTAGGAGAGTGGAGAACCAGGAAAGGAAAGAAGTAACTGAAAGTGAGATACTGTGAGTATATTTGATTCTCAGCTCTACCAGTCCCAGAGTAAGCAGACATGCATGAAAGTTTCCTGCAGTCATGAGCCCTGTGTCAGAGCCGACTTCTTCTTTCTGATGCTGCTTCCTGTCTAGCAGGGCCCCCTCTTGCCCTTCGTAGCACATGAAGATTGTGGCTAGGGACGGTAGGCCTTCCCCTAAGCAAGAAGGCCTTACGTACTCTGAAGTCTCTGAGAAATCATCTTACAGATGCCACACTCTGCTATACATATTCTGAAGTCTTTAGATTTTGACACCTCTCCTTCAGAAACCCTCAACAGTGCATGCATGGAACTAAGTACACAGCATAAAGTATTTCTTCTACAGTTTCTCTCTTCTCACTCAAGCCTCCTAACTGAGGAAAGCATATCCATGAATGCACTGTCAATGCAGTCAGATCTAGTTTACAAATAATGTATTTATATACAAACAAATAAACAGATTAATGACCATTTGCTCATGGACCAGGATGGATATAATGTAAATATTATCTCATACTACTGCTACCCTTTCTGAACTATGCCTCCCTAGAGCTTTTCCTTATCAGATTATCTTGACTACCTTTCCCTTATCAGACTACCACTGGCTGGTTCCATATGTCCCAGCTTCCCCTCCTCACCTAACCTTCAACATCCATTTCTGAAAGACAGTTTTTCCCACCTTACAAAAAAATTACAGGATAGAGAAGAGATTGAAAATTACTGGCATAAATGATGCCACTCCTCTAACCCGCAGCAGTAGCAGACATCACTAATTGGTGCAATATTACCTGAATACAGATGGGTTTTATCTTCACCAACATAATGCTCTAGGCAGCCACCATCATTGACTGGCATTTTGCCAACCAAGATGTAAATGATGTAGGGAAAAATCAATTCTCTATGGGATGTGAGAAATAGATATGTTTACTATAACAAATAATTAAGTTTCTATTGGTGGAACAATTCTCAGCAGGAGAATGTGAGACCTCAGAATGGGCTATCAAAAAAACATTTATTAATTGAATCATAATTATTCTTCTCCCTGGAGGTCCAAAGGAACAGTCAAGTTGCTAACCTGCCTGGAAACCCTGAAATGCAGTAGAATACAGAACATAGCCTGTTTTTCTATTCCTAGAGTTCTGAGGTCCTGAAGTGATCCTGAGGAAGCTGTAATCAGGGCAAAATTTGTATGCTGCAAGAGCATATGGCAGGCAGGTGTTACTGTGGTAAGGCTCTGGTGGGGGCAAGGGCAAGGTGAATAGGCTGGAAGATGTGGACAAACTTACATCTATGAGCTGCTGTTGCCCACTACATCTTCTCATTATATGAACCCTTCCCAGTGCCTCAGTGCAGCGTCACCCAATTCACTGGCTGCCATAGGGCTTTCTCCTATAGGACCCTGCATGGTTTATAGAATGACAGCATCTCACAGTTGGGAGGAAACATAGAAACCATCTAGCAGAACACTTTATGTGACATATGGACTCCCGTCTGTAATGTACTCCAAAGTGAACCAACAAGGGGCCAGGGGTCAGTGCAGAGGAAGTGGCTACCAGGGAACACTCTTGGCATAGAACTTGCCCCAAATATGACTCCATTAGTAAAACCATCAATTGAAATATTCTCAGTGCCTTTACAGTATCAATTCTAGCACTGCTCCTCCACCAAGTACATATACCCTCAGAGACTTTCTTGCAGAAAAAAAATTCTGGTCTTTCTCTTTTCTGTCACCCAAGTGGCACAGGCTTGGCGAGGAGGACCTGGCAGGTCAGTCATGGTCTGCGCCCCCTAAGGTGCTGTGTTTAGATTGGCAAAACATCCTCTCAGAGGACCATTTGTCCTTTACCGTGAGTGGGTCTTAAACATCACTTTGGCTCCTCTGCTCCTCCAACATATGGTATTGGAAATAGATATGAAGCAAACAGAAGGAGAAAGGGTTAGGGCCCTAACACTGGGCAAACTGGGCTCAGAGAAGAAACTTGCCCGAGGTCACATGGTGAGCAAGCAGCAGAGCCAGGATTCAGATCACATGTGTGTGACGCCACACCCCACATCTGGCTCCTAACCTCCATGAGCCACGTGTAGATAGGGGCTTTCATAATAATACAACTCTCTACATACAACTCTTGGTTGGAAAACCACAACCCATTTTGTACCGTGTGTGCTCCCTGTCCACACAATTGCCAGTAGCTCCATTTGTCCCTCTGTGTTCACACATAGCAATGCCCCCCTCCTTAGGAAATGCTAAACAACTATGTGCGAATCCAGTAGACTCCTACAATGCCTTTTGCAGGGAGCAAGTCTACTCTCCAGACATTGTGGCTCTCTGTTGTCTGGCTAGCTCAGTCCTACCTGAGAGCAGCTGAGTCTGTGGCTCAGAAGGAGAATTCAGCTTTTCTTCTCATCTCCTGTGAAAGTCCATACTTCTGACTCTCATGTATCTATGCAGCCTCCTGCCAGGACATGCCCTGCAGCCAGCAAGGGGAGTGCATTGAAACCATTGGAAACTACACCTGCTCCTGCTACCCTGGATTTTATGGGCCAGAATGTGAATATGGTGAGACTTCTAATTAGTTAATGTCATTTTGGTTATTGGTCTGATTCTAGAGATGATGCCATGAAATAAATCGTGCTGGATACTCTCCAGTGAGAACAGGCCCTCTCTATCATCTGTCTGTCTGTTCCACTCAAATTGTTCCTAGACACGCACTCTGAGTAAAAACACTTTATTCTCGGACAGACCATTTGCTCGTTAAATTTCAAAAAAAGAAAAGGGAAATATAAAGGAAGCAAAACAGAACCCTTTCAGGCAAATTTTACTTACTGGAATAAAAACCAATGAAAGAATGATTATTTTCCAAGATGCATCCAATACAAAGGGACCAAGTAAAGACAGATAGCTTGAGTTAGAAGATAAGAAAGTTAGGGTTAAGAGAGTTGCACACATAGTTCTGGCTCTCAGTAAATCTGACATTGTGGTTAAGTCTGCAATGAGAAAAAAACAACATTTTGTCTCCTGCAGTCAGGGAATGTGAAGAACTTGACCTCCCACAGCACGTGCTTATGAACTGCAGCCACCCTCTGGGACACTTCTCTTTCAACTCGCAGTGCAGTTTCCGCTGCCCTGAAGGGTATCAACTGAATGGGCCCAGCAAGGTGGAATGTTTGGCCTCTGGAATCTGGACGGATAAGCCCCCACAGTGTGTAGGTGTGTAGACCTTACTCTTTCCATCCTCAATGACGGCTAGAATTTTGAGGGGGAAGGGAGGAGGAATGAGCTTTCTCCATTAAAAAACATGAGAAGTAATGAAGATTTATGTCAGGTGGAAAATTCTGGTTATCACTGTCACTGGTCCACCAGACTAACACTAATCTTGATTATCATGGTATTTTGCATCTGTAGAATAATTCTGTTTAATTCTCAATTCTATGGCAAATATATTACAAAGGGACCCCTTTCCCTTTGTTAACTGCAAAGTGGACAGAATACTGTGATAAGGACTTAGGGATTGAGTGTTATTAACCTGATAACTTTACCTTGCTGCTCTAAGTGAAAAAACAAGGAAAAATCCAAACAGCTATTGAAAACTCTCTTGAACCAACCTAGTGCATCACCCAGCCTACCATGTTAGGAATGTATAGCTGCTGCAGAATCCTAAGGTTTCCAGGGTAGCTGGACATAATTTGCCCAAAGACTCACATCATTATTCTGTTGTTGTTTTTAGTTGCCCAGTGCCCATCCCTGAATACTCCTGAACAAGGAAGCATGACCTGTCTTCATCCTGAAAAAGCATTCCAGTACCAGTCTAGCTGTAGCTTTAGTTGTGAAGAGGGGTTTGCACTAGTTGGACCAGAAGTGGTGCAATGCTCAGCCTCAGGGGTGTGGACAGCCCCAACCCCGGTGTGTAAAGGTGAGTTTCAGGCAGTTGGGATGTGTAATGTGCACTGTACCAAGTCCTTGCTGAACATATCGATGAAACTGACCAGCTTATGGAAAAGCTGGCCTGAATTGCCGGAACTTAACTCATTCCACCTGCCACTCAGCTAGATTGGGTACATATGGGATGGGAAAAGAGCGGCCCTAGCAAAGCAAGAGGTTGATTTTACTACAAAATTTAAAAGTCCTCCTTTTCCCAAAATGCACAACCCATCTAAGGTTTCAGAATGGCCTCATTCATAAGCTTCACATAAGATGGGAAAGGGTGGCATTTCCATTTGTAAGGAGGCACTAGAAGACCTACTTGGACAAATTTATAGAGATACAGAGAAGAGAGGACATGAAGAACAAAGCTTGAAGGAATCTGTGTTTTTTAAGAGATTCAGGTCACCCTAAGGACTGGTGCCCCAAGACTGAACAAACATCATTAGAGTTTCCTGACCCTTAAATCTGCCTTGTTCCCCTTCCATTTCCAGAGACAGTTCCACCATTGCTGTCTATGGGCAGTTTTTCTCCTTCCTCAGTACCCTTCTCTTTCTTCATCCTTGGCTATTCTATCCAGCCGTGCAGTGTCAGCGCCTGGAAGCCCCTGGAAAAGGAACCATGGACTGTGTTCATCCCCTGGCTGCCTTTGCATATGGTTCCAGCTGCACATTTGAGTGCCAACCCGGCCATCGAGTTAGGGGCTCGGACACACTCCGCTGCATTGGCTCTGGACAATGGACTGCACCTTTGCCAACCTGTGAGGGTAGGATTTGCCTTTCGCCCCCAGTCTTTCTGAGGAGTCATGGCACAGAAGAAAGACCAAAAGTGCTTAATGTCAGGGTGACTTCCTCTGGGCTCTGACACTGGAACAAGTTGTTCAACCTCTGGGAACCACACTTTTGTCAACTGTGAAATGGAGTTAAGAATGGATCAAGGTGTTTTTGTGAGGGTTAAGTATGTAAAAAGTATACAATTAAATAGCATGCATGAAATCCCTAGCATAGAGTTGGGCACCTGATCAGCTTTAGTTTCTGCTTCTTTCCAAGCTGTGGGACAATGCCCTATACCTCAGAGGGAATCAGAGCAGAGGCTGGCATGGCTACAGAGAGATTTCCCACGTCGTCTTTTGGAGGTAGCCTTCAACAAAGGAGCAAAGGAGCACTTCATTGAGAAAGAACATATGATGTAATTTCAGTAACATATAAAACCATGAGACTGAATTCTGTGCAATGCCTCACACCCTCAGTTTATGAGGCAGAAGGGGTTAATGGGAGAATAGGAAATAAAGGTGAATTACTGAAGTCCCAGACCTAGATTACAAGCCCAGCTCTGCTACTATCTAACTGTGAGACTTTAGGGGAGTCACTTAACGTTCCTGAACCTCACCTTTCTTGTCTGTAATGTAAGAGAAAAACACTAGAGGATCTTTGCATCTTTCGTTCTTGAAGCCCCGATTCTGTAAAAACCAGAGGTCAAAACCCAGGATGAAAGGATGGCTGTTATACTCTGAAAAAACCCAGAAACAGCCTGGTGATGAATACTTTATCAAGGAAGAGCACCAGTTTGTAGAGCAGAGGTCACCGAGGGCTTAATTGTATTCAGGAACTCTCTTTGGGCTGCACTCACTTGACAACTGAAACTTGATTAGGATGACATCCTGTGTTCAGAGACAAAGTCCATTTGGATCACTTTATAGGGCTAGGTAACAGTGTCAACAATAAGCATGCTAGTCCAGCTTTTTCCCTATGAGTCCAGACTTTTCCTGCATCTACTCTTTCCAAATTCATTTCCACAGATTATGTCAGTAACTATTTAATGAGCGTCTTTGATGCACGAAACACTGTGCTGGGCTCTGGATACAAAGATGAAGGACTGAGTCCAGCCTCAAGGAGACTGGTGTGACGGGGAAGAATTACAATTATATCTGGACAGCACAAGAACAGGGGCTGCTGGGGGAGGGAGGAGGGCTTCCTAAGGAAAGTGAAGTCTAAGCAGAGACCTGAGGACAGGTGAGAGTGGACCAGGTCAAGAGGGGCATGGGAAGGTGACCCAGATAGTTTTCCTTTTGGAAAATAAGGGATTTAGGGTTCTAACCACACTGATAATGTGGGTAGGAAAAATGTCGCATCCCTGGGTGGTTTTGCTGAGAAAGAACTGGGCCCTTCCATTACTCGGTTATAGGAGATAACTTTTTCCACTCAGCCATTTCGTGTGAACCACTGGAGAGTCCTGTCCACGGAAGCATGAATTGCTCCCCATCCTCAAGGACATTTCAGCACAACACCACCTGTAGCTTCCATTGTGCTGAGGGATTCATGCTGAGAGGGACTGACACAGTTCGGTGCACTGATTTGGGACAGTGGACAATGCCAGCGCCAGACTGTCAAGGTACTGTGTCCATCCTAATGTTTTCCTGTGTGTATCAGCTTGGTGCACTGAGCACCATTCTGCATTTATTCATCAGACACTCACTAAAAACATGCTATCTGCATGCCTGCTGTGCCTGGCACTAAGGGTGAAATGGCAAGCAAAGCCAGTCTTAGGCATAACATCTCCATTATATATAGCATAGTCAAGATGAGGGTACCATGGACTGGCAGGTATGGGGTTCATTGGTATGAAGGAGATGAGACTTGAGGAAGAAATGATGCATGAGGAATAGCATGGGACAGGGAAGAGAGTGGACGAGGCATTTAGTCAGGTCTAAGCTTTCAGATTCTCTGAGGCTCAGTGTCTTCTGTAAAATGGGGGTACTATTACCTGCCTTACCTTCCTGCCTTACCAGCAGTTGCGAATTAATGTGTATAAAAGGAACTTTAAAACTTGTATGTGCTTTATAGGGATGATGATAATGATGATAATAATATTACCTTACAAATCATATGTCTATGGGCAGATTTGACAAAAATGACTCCTCTTTCAATATTTCAGGTCTTCAATATTTTCCTCATACACAACTGAGGCATGGTAGGGGGGGATCACTAGTATTTTTTTTTTAATAAGAGGTACGTTACACGGAGGGCACATTCCAGAAGTGCAGTATTGGCATTTTGTGTTGTCACTTACTGAGACACATGGGCAATTTATATGGCTACCCTGGGTCTAAGTTTAACCTCATTTTAAAATGAGACAGTGGTTGGACAGCAGGATCTTGAAGAGATATTTGTACACCCATGTTCATGGCAGCATTATTCACAAGAGTTAAAATGTGGAAGCAACCCAGTGTGTGCTAATGGATGAATCGATAAGCTAACTGTGGCATATACTTGCAGTGGAAGGAAATTCTAACATATGCTACAAACATGGATGAACCTCGAGGAAATCATGCCAAGTAAACAAGCCAGTCACAAAAAGACATACTGGAGGATTCCCCTCAAATGAGGTCCTTATAGTAGTCAGAACCATGGAGAGAGAAAGTAGAATGGTGGCCTCCAGGACTGTGGGGAGAGGGGAATAAGAAGTTATGGTTTAATGGATCTCGAGTTTCAGTCTGAGATGATGAAGAGGGCTTGGAGATGAATAGTGGTGATAGTTGCCCCACAACATGAATGCACTTAATACCATTGAACACTACATTTAATCTTCATTATGTGGTACTTGGTAAATTGTATGCTATACTCATTTTATCATAATAAAAAATTGAAATGCAAACAATAAAAATAAGGCAATGGAGGAACAGATGTTCACGTGCCATGATGGTGAGACCTAGTGAGGTAATGGGATGTTCTGTGGACATGTCATCTGGGAGGCACAAAGAGCCCTCTGACATACTTAAAGGAATTGTGAGGGAGCACTCGTCCCATTCTTGTCTCCAGGCGGGTAAATGTCTAACACAAAACCATTGGACAGTCCTTGAAGCATCCAGGGATGTGGTCTCAGCACCTCCCTTCATAGGCCTTCTGAGTGTTTCCCACTCCAACCTTCGAGGTCTGCATCTGATGAGTGGTCTTACTATGACTACTGTCCACCATAATTTATCTTCAGTCGCACATTAGCAGCATTTATATTTGTTTTCAATATTTTGCTCTTACAAATAATGTCTTGATTACAGTCTCTGAATTGATTTTCTGGTCTGCATCTCGGTTACATACACTCTCAGGTCCAAAATTATGATAGTTTAAACATTATTGATACACATTGCCAAAATGCTCAGTAATGGTTTAGTGTTTTCCTAATAATAAAATCCTTCATGGGCCATTGTGATGAAATGACACTTTTCTCATCTTCCAAGTTAAACAAGCCCAATTCAGAAATCCCGTTTCTTTGCACTAAAAAGGGTTAACAGTCAAGACTAACACATACATGTGTACTGCTATCTCTTTACTCCTCACCTCCTCACCCCCTAGCTTTGCAATGCCAGAATCTTCCAGCTCCAATGACGGCCCAGGTGAACTGCTCCCACCCCTTTGGTGCCTTTAGATACCAGTCAGTCTGCAGCTTTACCTGTGAGGATGACCTGCTTTTGGTGGGAGCGGATGTTCTGCAGTGCTTGCCTACAGGAAACTGGAGTGCCACTCCTCCAGAATGCCAAGGTAAGAGCACACTCTTTCTGGGATCTTAGAAATGAACTCTGGGCAGTGCTTGAAAAGGCTAGATTTCAGAGGTGGTCACTGTGTAGGGCCCACCTTGAAATAGAAAATTAATAAATACTCTCCCTCATCCTTTCATTCTGCAACCCAAGGATCCCAAATGCAAATGTCCTTGGGGACTAGGCAGGTCACACAAGTGTCAGGATGTTTGGCAGTAGGCAGTAGGGGATGGCCCTATTATCTGGGTCTTTACCAGGTCCCAAAGGCTACTGCCATGAACCATGTAAACGGCTCTCACCTGGCTAAAAATAGTGTCTGGAAAGACCAGAAGAACAAAGATAACTTTGGGGTGGATGTCCCAAGACTAGCCTGGTACTTTACTCCTAAGAACCATGGAGTGAGTGGGCAGAATCTACAGGTAACAACCTAGTTGCAAACATACTCCAAGATCTGTATAGTACTGGAGAGATGTGCAGAGGATAAAGTGGAGAGTGATGGGAAAAGGAAAAAAACTTTATGAACTGGAGGTTACAGGGTTCTCAGAAGAGAGGAATGCACAAAGCAGTACAAGCACTTATAGTTGCATTGTACTTGCTATGAAAAAGTCAGTGCATCCTGTCAATATTGTCATACACTATTGCATGAAACAGAACTGGTTCTATTTGTCTGTGTTTGTGAATTGAAGGATAGATGTATGCTTTTCATGTTCTCTATTCTTTTTTCCCCTCAACAAAACCAACTCTTTAGATAAATTTATAGCAAATACTGCTTTTTAAAATAAGATTTTCATTTATAAAATCTGCAGAAAAATAAGAAAATAGAGAAATGAAAAAAATATCCTCATAAACACTCCTATCCTAAAACAGATACTTTGCATTCTGGTATGAATTCTTCCAGTATTTTCCCATCCCTTCCAGTAGGTTCCCTCTATGCAGTCAGTATACATCAGTATGATGTATGCACAATTTTAGTAATGGAGTTAAACGAATAAAATATGAGACATGTCTACATTATTTGCCATGCTTTTCACATTGTGCAGACTTTCAACAGCTGAGTGAAAACAGGCAGAGACATATTTTTTATGAAGAGGAAACCACTTGCTATTTGGGTCACAGGCAATCCACACATGCGTATCTACACACATACCTCACACTATCGAGCAAGATCAACAACAGTAAATGAATGAACGAACTCTGCAGAATTGGATGCCCTTCATCCCCAGGCACCAGAGAGCATGGCAGGCCTGTGGGGTCAGGGTTGGGTGCACCTTCAGAGCTGGGTCTGGAGAGAACAGGGTGACCGTGACCATGTCCCCTCAGGGCCTATCTGGGCTACATTGAAGCCTGGATATATTACAAAGTCCACACAGCTTTGGAGAAGAACTTGGAGTCCCTGAGGAGGGTGACCACCATGATCAGAACTCTTCCAGGAAATCTGGGTCATACAGGGCACAGATTACAGTTCATTGCCCCATACCGTCCTGCCTGTGGGCGTTTCATGGCAAGGAGGTTGCCACTCACCACGGCTTCCTGTGACCTTCCAGTTCCCTTCTGCTTTTAGTTTTTTGTTTACTCTGACTGAACTTTCTCCTTTTCTTGCTGGGTGGCATCAAGTGAAATACCCACATGTGGCTGGGCAGGAGGTACCAAGAGGCTTGCAATTCACTAGCTGTTGTAATACTTCTGAGAGAGTGTTATCAGACAATTTCCCTTTTCTTTTTTTCTTTCTTTCTTTCTTTTTTTTTTTTTTGAGTTGGAGTCTCACTCTGTTGCCCAGGCTGGAGCGCAGTGGCCACTCCTGGCCACTGCAGCCTCGACCCACTGGTATCTAGCGATCCTTCCACCTCAGCCTTCCAAGTAGCTGGAACTACAGGCCTGGCTAATTTTTGATTTATTGTAGAGAGGGGGGTCTTGCCAAATTGCCCGGGCTGGTCTCAAACCCGTGGGCTCAGGCAATCCACTCGCCTCAGTCTCCCAAAGTGCTGGGATTACAGGCTGAGTCACCAAGCCCAGCCTCAATTTCCCTTTCCAATGCTCCCAGCCCTGCACACCCACCTCTGCTGTCAGACACCAAAGCCATAGAAGAGCTGGAAATTAGCTTCATGGCGTTAAGTTCCCTATTCACAACCCTTCCCCTTGTCTTATAGACTTCTTGAGTTGTCTCCTACCCCTGCCCCCCATACACACTCATTAAAGAGAGACTATTCAAGTGGCAGAAGATAACCAGGCCTTTGCACAAGTTGATCCGATTGAAGGGAATGTAGCCAGAGAGGGAAGGCATGAAGGGAAGAGAAAGGTATAGAAAATGCCCTCAAAACCTCATGCCATTTAAGTCAGTAGCTGAAAAATGACCCCTGGATAGCCATGCCCTCCACTGGTCTAGCCCAAGTCATAACTGCTCAACCAGGTCAGACCACAAAGAAGCAATACCCTAAACCATGTGCTTACTTAGTCTTTACTTTTTAGTGTCAACATGTTAAATCTGGGTTTTACTGCTTCATTAGTTGGCGGGGAAACATCTTGCAGCTATTAACATTTGCATACCGAGTGTTTTCACTCTTGATCCTAGTAAAAATTCTGGGAGCTGTGTAATGTTATCTCCCCATTTAAAGGTAAAGATATTGAGGCTCAGAGAGGTTAAATGACTGGCCAAAAGCCACAGAGCATGATCTCCAACCCAAGCAAGTCCCTTAGCACCCCAAATTCTATGTGCATAAACTGTGGCAAAAACCACGAGACCTAATTTAGCTTTATTTTGGCAAGTGAACAAGTAGAGTCATTTGTGGCTGGCCATGGTAGGATGGGACCTTCGGGAAGGGGTGGACGTTAGCATCCACAGGAGAGCCAGTTACATTCTGCACACTGTGTTTTGTTACATTTTATATTTGATTTAACTAACTGAATTTATGACATAGCTAAGGATCCCTGCAAGGCAAGGATTATACTTTTTCCCACTTCAAAGATGAAGCCACCGAGGCTTAGAAAGGTTATTGTTCAGGGATACATTGCTAGTAAGTCACTGAGCCAGAATTTGGGTCCAGATTCTTTCCACCACCCAGATGTGGAAAGGGGAAGAAATATTTTACTCCATTTTTTCTGTTTCCAGTCCCTTGTCATTGTTTCCTGGTAAGGTCATTAGGTCTGTTTCAGAAAAAGGTATCTAGGGGGCAAGCCCTTGCACCCCTGCTCAGGACAACCAGAATGAGCTGCACCTCTTCTTTCCAAACAGGGCCCCAGCCTCCTAAAATTACCTCTAAGTACCTTGCAGGTTAGAGTCTCAGGATATCAGGCACTGTAAGCTGTGGCTATCTTATACCTCCACAGTTGCTCCCTGGTGAGAAAGTGCCAGGAAATTAAACCACCATTTTAGCCCAACACTGCCCTTGTGCATGAAGAGAGACTCCACACGACCCCTGATGTCAAGTTGCCGAGTTCTGAAATGATCTCTCCTCTCCACCGTGCCACAGCCAGGCCCTGCACACCCTTGTTAAACCCTCGGGATGGAACTGTCACCTGTGTCCAGCCGCTTGGAGATTCCAGTTATAAATCCACATGTCAATTCACCTGTGAAGAGGGATTTTCTCTATCTGGACTGGAAAGATTGGATTGTACTCCATCCGGACACTGGACAGGTCCCCCGCCAACATGTGAAGGTAGGCGCGTGACATTATAGAGTGGAAAATCACCAGGGATTCATATAGAAGTGTCCCTGAGTAAAACAAACACCACACTCTACACAGAACATGGTAATTTGATCAAAACTTTTGCTGTCCTAATATGTTAATAACTTTTAGTTAAACATTGCACAGTTTTATGAAGGGCTTTCATGTAATTATAGCATTTGATATTTACCACCAATCCTGAAATAATGAGGAAAGGTAGTGTCATTTCCGTTTCATCAAAGAGGAAGAAACACAGGCTCAGAGCTGAGCAAGTGATGAAGCTCAGCTATGTCACTGAAAGTTTTACTTCCTTACAGTTAATAACTTTTAGTTAAACATTGCACAGTTTTATGAAGAACTTCAATTCAATTTTCGTGATTTTGAAGCTGGTTATTTATCAGTAAAATTGACTCAAGCACATACTGGAGTAACTTAGCAGAATCCTCAAAGGCAGGGGCTGGATCTTATCTGTCTTTAACTCCCTGAAACATCTGGCTGGCATTGTACGTAGCACATTGTATGTTCTAAAATACAAGTGCGCTGGATTCATTAATTCACAGCTCTTCTTTTGTTTCAAAAGGCACCATTGTTTCAAATGATTGTTCAGTGTTGTCGGAGTTAGTAACTCTGAGACCAGCAATCATTGTTAATAGTTATTGTTTAGCTAGTGTCAGTCATTTCATATGTGTGATCATACCCAATCCACACAGACAACCCTTGAGATGGTTGTTTTTACCTCCATTTTGAATGTGAAGAAACTGAGGCTTTGAGAGGATGAGTAACTGGTAAAGGTCACATAGCTAGGAAGTATGGAGTCAGAATTCAAACCCAGGCCTCGTCTGATTACAAGGCTTGTTATTCTTACCACTGCGTTCCACTGCCATCCAGTGGCAGTCTTCGCAATGCCGGGTCGGTCACCACATTGCACAGGTTGCAGCTCTAACTGCTGAAAGGAACTTTAGAAATGAGAGAAAATGTGGGTGGAAATCTATTAGTGTCACGTGAGAAGCAGCTAAAATATTATGTATTTCTTTTTATGGAATGAGCACTAGATTAATACTCAAAGACTTACGTTGCTCCTCCCCAATGTCATGTGACATTGGGAAAGTCTTGTCACATCCTTGGGCTTCAGTTTTCTCTATTCCAAAAGGACAGGCGTCGACAGGATCACCTCCCAGGTCTCTTCTTTGGCCAAGAATTCAGTAGGTCAAAGACAAAAAAGATGCATGGCAAGCCCCCTGAGGAAGCCAGAACAGTTGTGGGGGAGGGCATTCAGGCTTGCTTGTTTCATCACTCATTTATTTCTCACTCTCTCATTCATTTATTTCACTGACATTTATCGTGAGCTCTGTTTTCCCACATTTTGTTTTAAGACCAAAGAATTTAAAATCCCTTTAAAAATTTGCTTAAGTTTTAAACCACAGATACAAACAACATGGTTGTTGCATCTGCAATCTCTGAAGCCCCTGCCTTTCTTCACTCCTTCTAGCCCTCTTTTCTCCACAGGGGGAGGTGTCTGCCCCCAACCCTGTAGACCCAGGCCCCACCCAATGTCCAAACCCAACCCTGACCAGAACAGCAGCTTTCAGCCAACGTGGCCCTCAGGATGACCGACCTTTGTCAGATCCTGCTCTCAAGCCCTGGTTTTTGTACTTGTGTTTCTACCTCATTCTCCAAACGTATGCTCTAAACTTAGGCAAATAGTGCCTCTTCATTTCCCATATGCCTGAATTCAAAGCTTTTTTTTTTTAAGAGAGAAAAGTACTTTATAACTGTTTTAAGTTGTATCATTTTGATTAGCAGTGGCAGTGAATATTTTCCCATGTATATGTTTTCTGCCTTCTGACTTCCTTGTTCTTGAGTTTTGTCCATCTCTCTGAATTTGTGCATTGGCATTTGTTTCTTAGCAATATGTAGCAATTATTTTTTTCCTCTGGTGTGGAGACCATATCACACTTATTTTTGCACCGCCAAAACTATAACTTGCTCAGGTTAGGGCTCCTTTCATACACTTGTTTTCAGTTCAGTGATTTTTAGTACTGAATTCGTGGATTTTTTTTTTTTTTTTTTTGAGTTGTCGTTTCACTCTGTCGCCCAGGCTGGAGTGCAGTGACACACTCACGGCTACCCTAGCATCGATCTGTTGGGTTCCAGTGATCCTTCCACCTCAGCCTTCCAAGTAGCCGGAACTACAAATGCGTACTATCACACCCGGCTAATTTTTGATTTATTATAGAGACAAGGTCTCGTCAAGTCGCCCAGGCTGCTCTCAAACCCGTGGGCTCAGGCAATCCCCTCGCCTCAGCCTCCCAAAGAGCTGGGATTACAGGCTGAGCCACTGAGCCTGGCCAAATTCATGAGTTTTTAACCTTCAGCACTGCCCCTAGATCCCTGATCTTCACATAGCAACCTAGGGTACACCAGAGGGGCTCCAGGGCCACCAAGTACCCGGGGTAGTGTAGCAGCTAGAGCTCTTGGGCTCTCTTCAGAGTGCAAGGGGAGGTTTCCTTTTTGGGGGTGATTCCACAGATATTTTCATTTCAGTTAAAACACCAGTTCCCTGAGCCCACTGGGACTGGGGCTCTGCCTATACAAACATCCCTTGGTATCTGCAGGGGATTGGTTCCAGGACACCCCTGGGCCCCAGAATCCATGGGTGCCCAAGTTCCTTATATTAAATGGTGTAGTATTTGCATATGACCTACACACATGCCCCTGCTCACTTTCAATCATCTCTAGCTTACTTATAATACCTAGTGCCACACCTACCGGTCACTTCATTCATGTGAATTCAACATACTCGGCACACGGCAAATTCGAGTTTTGTTTTTTTGGAATCTTGTAGACTTTTCTCTCCAATATTTACTATCTGCAGTGGGTTGATTCCATGAACGCAGAACCCATGGATACAGAGGGCTGGTTATTTTCCAGTCTTGTCCCTGCCTCTGTCCATCAGGACCTGAACTCTTTTCTGTGGGCCTAAGCAGTGCATGAGGCTCTTCTCTCAACTCTCCTGATGCCATCTGTGTGCTAGATTGCCCTGTCCCCACCTGTTGGGCCACTTTCCGATAAGGACCCCTGCACATGACAGACAGACCTGGCACCTCTGGGGACAGACCTGGCACATGACAGACCTGGCACCTCTGGGGACCCTGTTTGGCTCTGGCTCCAACTTCTCTGGCCCCAACTTCTGATGTTCATCCTCATCATAGTGGGGGGTGGTCCTGGTTCCAAGTCCCAACCCCAACTCTACCCTCTGCCTTGTTCCTGGTTATCCATGTCCTAAAACTTGGCAAACGGGTGCCCTCCAAGCTCTGGCCATCCGATGTCTCTATGTTTTTCTTCACTCTCCCAACATTTATCTGATTCCATGGGGAATTCTAGTTTTTATTTATTTATTTGAGACATAGTCTCACTCTGACACCCAGGCTGGAGTGCAGTGTCACACTTACAGCCACCACAGCCTTGACCTACTGGGCTCAGGTGATCTTTCTTCCCCCTCAGCCTTCCAAGTAGCTGGAACTACAGGCGAGTGCTACCATGCCCAGCTTATTTCTTGATTTATTGTAGAGATGAGGTCTCACCAAGTTGCCCAGACTGGTCTCAAACCCCTGAGCTCAGACAATCCTCTTGCCTCGACCTCCCATAGTGCTGGGGCTTAGAATAGTCAACTCAGTTACTTTTATTATTTATACTGTATCTTCTTTCCAGAAAATTCTTGAAGAAACTATATCCAACTCAAGTAAAATGAGAAACCCAGAATCAACTAAACCTATTTAAAATAATATGTCAATACGTTTATGAATTCACATGTAATTATGCATACCTACTTAATGGGTTACAGGAAAACGCCAGTGAAGACCCCTCTGTGACAGCACTGCTTTGAGTCAGTGAAAATAAAGCCCTAAGTATGTAAAAAAAAAAAGAAAGAAAGAAAGAAAAAGAAAAAGCAGCTCTTTTCTATTTCTTACTCTTCTTATAATTATTCAGCTTTTTTCCAAAGTTTTAGCATAGGTTCAAGAATATGACCATTTTTGAAAGTTATGCACAGAGGTCATTCCCTGGTATAAATTTTTTTCTCAACATCCACACTAAGCTCTACATTCCAATGACATCCTTAAAACTCCACAAATCTAACTCATCCCATGTTTACTGAAAACCCATCAGATGCCAGATCTAGGTTAGGTTTCCAGGTACCACACCAAGGCTGCCCCTCAGACAGAACACCTGCTTCCTTACACTATCCACAGCCAAATTCTTAAAGTTATTTAAAGGCCTTTTGTTGGACAAGATTCATTTTTACCTGAAAGAGTTCAGAGGTTTTCATAAATACCAAACACTGGATACATAACCCTGGCTGAGCCAGACTGACAAAACTGAAGCCAAAGCAATTATTTCCTAAGTGGTTTTCTTGCTGTAGTAACTCTCATTTTATACTAGGGGTCTTTCCAGTGAATTTTTAACAATAATTCCTCTGTTTCTTTTCAACCCAGGTAAAAATATTTATTAGAATGCATCTAAATTAAATTGTCTTAATTAACTTGTTTACTCATTTAATAAATATTTTCAGAATTCCTACTATGTGTCAGGCCCTGCTCCCTGGGACACAATGTTGAAAGAGCTGATGACACGCAGTTGACTTTATGCATACCTGTAGGTGTAATCCTTGGAAAATCTGAAAAAGTTATTTTAGTCAAAATGTTCATGGATGATTTCGTGTCGAGGATTTACACCAGTAGACATATTTAGTAGATGTTTGGTAAATGGAATTGATTTGACAGTTGTGAAGCTATTAGTTACTCAACAATTTGAGAGTTCTAAACAGGAATTCACTCTCACTTTGGGTATTTAAATGGATTCAAGTAATAAGAATCCATATCCTTCTATGAATATCTTGTCACTGAAAAACATATGCGCCGGTATATAAAAGGCAAATACTATACATCACTCTTCCAATAGGCAGCTCATAGGAACTGGAGACGTTTTTTAAAAATCAAAATAACTAAGCAAAATGAGCCTTACCTGACCAAGGTATCATTTTCAGAATAGCCTTAGATTTAAATAAAGAATAGTCACTCCATTTGACAATAACCCAATATTTGTTGATAAATAATATTCTTATGTCAGAAAATCTAATAGGGAGAAATACATAATACACAGATAAATATGTAACTGCAATAATTTGTAAAAATAATGTTGGGGGAAATTGTGGTTAGTAAATTAAAAATTTACTTGTTCATTGCACTTGGCAAGTAGTTTTTGAGCACCACCTCTTGAGATCCTTGTTGGTAATTATAGGTTTCTAAAACAAAGATTCTTGGGTTTTAGAAGCCTTCTGTCCAGTAGAAGAGGAAAGATATAACATGATATGACAGCACAGGAGTTCAAACAAAAAGTTGGTGCATTTAGAGAAGAGTGCAGGCTGTGGTGATCAGCAGAGGCTTCTGCGAGGCTATGCTGAGTTGGATCCTAGAGAATTAGTGGAATTTTAACTAGTGGAAATGGGAAAAAAAAAAAAAAAAACTCAGGGACGTGTGAACCAAGAACCAGAAACAAGAATACAGGAGGTCAGTTCAGGGAATTCCCAGGAACTAGTCTATCTTGACCAGGAGGTTTTGAGCTTTCTTGTGCTATGTAACTGTGGAATTAAAAAAAAAAAAAAAAGCCTGGGGATTCAAATGGAGGAAATAGCTTGTGACAGAAGGCAGTCATTGCAGTCTAGATAATTCTGTATTTGAGGAGATGGCAGGCTATCTAAGGGGAAGTAGTCTTAGGGCAGGAGGAAAGGCAGCTGTGAAATTCTGGACTACACCCATTCAGATAAGACATTGGGTGGGGGAGGCTATGAGGGCTCTGTAGCAGAGGGTGTAGAAGAAAGAGAATGAGGTCATGAATTCTTCAGTGTGGCTGCCTAAGTCCTCGACTTCCTTATCTTTGTGACTGCCACCTATACTTCTCTCTGAGAGCTCACCATCCCTCCCACTGCCCACTGCCCTGTTACTAAGTACAACGCCTGGAGCACAGGTGCTCAGTAGATATTTGTTGCTTATATAAGTGAACACAGAACTTCTGAATAAACTTGGAGGTTGTGACACTTGGCCTGATATTCTAGCTGTCAAGTGCCCAGAACTCTTCACCCCAGAGCAAGGCAGCCTGGATTGTTCTGGCCCTCATGGAGAATTCAGCGTTGGTTCCGTCTGCCATTTCTCTTGCAACAAGGGTGTTGAGCTGAGGGGGACTGACGAAGTGGAATGCATAACTTCTGGAAGGTGGTCAGCACCTCCACCAACCTGCAAAGGTAATACTATACATATATGCTGGGACAATTCTACTTTTGGAAATTTATTTTAAAATAATAATAAACATTTTCATAACTCTGATACTTAACGAATACACATTACTATTATTTGGATCTAGCAAACAGCCTAAGGATTAAGAATTTGCTAAGGAGTGACAGAATGTTTTTATGTTTGTGAATAAAAGATGTGTCGATTGTTAAGCAGATATTTTGTTTCATATTTTTGGCCTCTTTTTCTCAGAGTACTTTGTTGAGCTTACAGAATGGTCTTCATTACTTTACTGCCAAGGCAGGATATAAGGGGTGGGGTCACTGGTCTAATTTTTCAAATCTAGCAACTGAGGTGCAGAGAGGTCAATCATCATCTTTCTGACCCACAGCAAGCTAATGACAAAGCCAGAGGCATCACTCACATTTCAACTTTAATGTTGACCTATGGCCAGAGAACAATACCACCTCCCCATAAAGCAGAGGTGAGCAGGCAGTTGGTCCATGTATAAGCGGGGACCTCCCAAAAAAAGCAGAATTTTTTTTTTTTTTTTTGAGGGCAGGCTTCTTATAGTACAGGCTTTCACTGCTAAGTAAGTGTTCTAGGAACCCACTGGCATCAGTGTACTAGCTAGCGTTTTTGTGAGAGGCAGTATTTAACCTGAGTGAATCATTTTTTGGAGATTCTTTCAACATGTTTGCCCATTTCATGATGGGTGATTTACACGAATAACCTGCTCACGCTGTACTGAGTATCCAGTAGTTTTTGACCCAAAACAGCATGTCCCCATGCCCCTCCCTCCCTATTCACCTGATCTCGTCCCAAGCGACATTTTATTTTTGTTTCCCCAAATGAAAAGAGTTTTCAAAGGGAAACGTTTTGCTGATGTAGAAGAGATGAAACAAAAAACAGAAGTATTAAAAGGCATCAAAATTGATATATTCAAAATTTGTTTTCTGCAGTGGAAAAAGCATCTTGATAGGTGTATTGCATCAGAGAGTACTTTAAAGGTGACTGAAGTTTAAACATGTAAGAAAAATTACACATTTTTAAATAAATAAATTCCAGGTTTTTGGGGTCCCCCTCATATATTTGGTTTTCTTCTGATTTCTTACACTTTTGCACCAATTTGTCTTTTATATATACCTAACATTGACCAGTCCTCTCAGTTTCTTCTTCTGCTCAGGAGAATCATCTGTTCAAGGACCCCTTAAAATAATTTTCCTCATCTGGTTGTCTATATATGAGATTGATAGTTTTTCTAAACTTCCTTAAATAGATATTGCTAGAGCCTCCCTTGTTAGGGAAGGAGTGAAAGGCAGCAGTCTTGATTCTGTGATAGTCCTCTCGGTTGAAAGCTCTCTCAATTGAAACATTTTCCCACAACAGGCCTAGCATCAGTTCGTACCCCAGATGTGCGATGCCCAGCCCTCCTCACCCCGGGGCAGGGAACCATGTCCTGTCGGCATCGTCTAGGAACCTTCGGTTTGAATACCACTTGTTACTTTGGATGCAAAGCTGGATTCACACTCATGGGAGACAGCACTCTCAGATGCAGCCTTTCAGGACAATGGACAGCAACAACTCCAGTGTGCAGAGGTAAGGTGGAAAGGAGCAGACAGTTTTGATGCTGTCGGTGTACACGTACTCAAGCCATGATTCCTGCCTGTCGAAATCCCATCCAACCACAACAGCTGCTGCAAGGGTCAGCCCCTCCATGAGATCCACACCAATCCCAACCTGAAGTAACGTGAAGTATAGCGGGCACATCACCTCTGCCCTTTCCCTTGTCATAAACCAATGGCCTGGTACTCAAAGACCTGAAGGAGAAAACATTGAGGATGTCCAAAATGCAAAATGTGTTAAAACAATAAGCACGCTGAATGTGAAGTCAGCTATGTGACTTGGTAAATGCAAACTGCATTTCTATTAAGTACATGAGCGTTTAAACACTCCATATTTTCATGATTAGAACCTAAATAAAAAGTTAAGCCATACAGGATACCCCTCAAAGAACTGTGATCCTGTAACTAAAGCATGTCTCTTTCATCTTTATGTACCTCACAAGGCATAACACAGTTCTTTGCAAATGTCACTATTGTTCAATAACTTTTATTTGAATTAAATTAAATTTCCCAAACTTTACTTTCCTGTCCATAAATCAGACAATAATCTGAAGTTCCCTAAAAAATACTTTTAAAAAGATGAATGTTTCTACTTCTTTCAAACACGGAGTGTCCAGATAGGCTGAACAGTTATTCTTTTCATAAACACATGCCAGTTGGCCACAAATGTAGTGATAGTGACATCTAGAACGATAGCATTTTTGAGAAGACAAATTCTGTAAATAGCATTTTTGGAGGCAAGATTGATCAATCCATGAGCAGGTATTTATTGGATGCTACTGTGTGTCCATCCTAATTCTTGGCTGTGACTTCTTTGAGTGGGTACTTCAGTATGTGTGATGTTAGAAAAACTGGTGTGAATATTAACAGTGGCTGATATCCTTTCTGACCTTTCATATTCTGCCTCACCCAGTGGCAATGCTGGTCAGGTTATACGTGAAACTATAATCTCTTTTACCTTCATACTCTGTGTGGGTTTCTCCTGTATTCCTTCTTTCTGCAGCTGTCAAATGCTCAGAACTGCATGTGAATACCCCAATGGTGATGAACTGCTCCAACCTCTGGGGAAATTTCAGCTATGGCTCAACCTGCACCTTCCACTGTCCAGAGGGCCAGTTGCTTAATGGTTCAGCAAGAACAGAATGTCAACAGAGGGGCCACTGGTCAGCTGCCATGCCGACCTGCCAAGGTACACTTTTCATGTGGTTTAGGAAGTCACTTGGATATGGAAAATAACAAAATCAGTGTTTCTTCTCTGCATAATTCTCATAGTGCTTTCTATCACTGGGTTTCCCCTTTACGTAGTAAATGTTTAACAATGAATTGGGCAGAGTCACCTTGCCTTACACAGAGGGATAGGAACTGAATTCAGTGGCTCTATGTGTATAATCACCACAACTTTTCAGTACTTGGATCTGTGAAATGAATCCTCTCACTTCCTTGTAATCGCTGTTTAACACACCTTGAAGTTTCACACTGTTTTCAACTGAGGTTCCTTATTTAGTATCTCAGAAGACCTTTGTTTACCACCTACCTCTAAAAAAAAAAATCATACATCTCCCTTAATTAGGTTCCATATGTTTGTAAGGTATAGTTTATTCCTCTTTCGCCCCCTCCCATTTTTTCCTAGCAGCTTGTTGCAACTACTTTTTGTTACATGATTGAATCTTTGATTGTCAAACAACATTACCCATGGTTTACTTTATTTGCCCAAACTTCCATGTGCCAGCTTGTTGTTGTCTACAATTTGATTCCTTTTACTGGATCTTCACCCTGATTTCTTTGAAAATTAGAGTTGACATTTAAGCCTTAGGAATAAAATCGGGCCCACTTCCCATCCTGTTGCAGTGGATTTTTGATTTCCAGAATTCTCATGCTGGCTTGTCAGCATTGCTAGGGCCTCTGATGATCCTGTTTGGTCTCACATCACAGAGGTCTTGGGAGCTTTCTGGGAGAGAAAGACTGTTTTTCTGCATAATACACTTCTTATGTCGTGTGTGTGTGTGTGTGTGTGTGTGTGTGTGTGTGTGTGTGTGTGTGTTACAGCAAGGCCACTGACCATCCAGGAAGCCCTGACTTATTTCGGTGGAGCAGTGGCCTCAGCAACAGGCCTGGCCATGGGCGGGACACTCCTGGCTCTGCTAAGAAGGCGCTTCAGACAAAAAGGTAACTAGGAAAGAGTCTTCTGCTTGCTTGCTTCATTCACATGATTTGGGGTGAGGTGGTGAAACCACAACTTCAGTAGTTCATGTCGGAAAACACTTGCATTACAAGAAAACAAGACCAAGAAAAGTGATCTTGGAATGGACTGGTCACCAGAATCATCTGGGGAACTTCATAAAAATGCAAATCCTCCCACAGGGAGACCTGAGGGTGGTCCTGGAAATAAATCTGAAACTTTCAAAATCCTTTCCCAAAATTCTGATGAGGACAGTTTGCAGTTTGGCATCTGGGGGCCTCTGGTTTAAGTCCTCTAAGGTATCACTAAAACTAGTCAGAAAAGTGTCATGCTTCCTCCCCTCACCCACAACTTTATGTAACAAACATTTATTGACAAACTCTGTTATAGGCAATAGGACCCATAGCAATGGTTCCTGTTATTAAAGAAGGTAAGAACGATAGACAAGTGAGATCACTGCTAATACTGAAGTGTGGTATGAGTGTTAGACACAAATACAACCTGGGTACAAGAATATGGAATAGAGGTGCCTAAACCAGACTGGTAGGGCAGGAAGGGATTTAGCCAAGGGGGAAAAATGGAAAAGAGTTTCCACAGAAAGAATGGCATGTAGAAAGACATGAATGGGTGAAATCACTGGGAAAATGGTGTGTTTAGCAGTTCAGTAGATCTGAATCTAAGGGGGAGTGTGAAGGGGGTAGGAGATGAAGCCACGGGTGGAAGAGGCTGCCACCATATTGGTGAACTGGTGTGATAAGCTAAGAGATTTGCATTTTTTCCTGAAAACTTATGGAGCTGATGTAGGATTTAAGCATGGAAGTAACCAAGTGGATGAAGACTCTATAAGGGAAACTGAGTTCATCAGACAAAGAACTTTGGAATAAAAGAAGGGACCAGCCCATCTCTTCCCAATCTGCTCTGCACACTTAGGCTGTGCACAAATCCATAAAATTTTGTTTATAAGCTAGTGGGACTCTCTTCACTACTCCTCATAAGAAGCCACTAGGGGTAACAGAGGAACCATTAGTGCTCAAATCCAGGTGACTGAAAGTGGCTGTGTTAAAACTGAAAGCGACAGAGTTCTCATTGAATTTCTCTATTGTTGAAATAGGTTTCAACATCTATTTTTAACTGCTCATAGGCAAAACTGTGTGTTCTCCACTCTTACTCTCTCACCATTCACAAAACTACCATTACACTGAGGCTGTTTCCCCAAAGCTCCTTCATACACTCTCCTGCAAGTGGATAACTAAGACAGTAGGCACAGGGCAATACTCTGTTTTAAGATCAAAGGGATATACCACGAACTACAACCAATACAGAATTTGGGCTTGCTTAACCAAACACAGAAAGTGGAGGCAAGAGCTCCTAAGACCTAGACTTTAATCTCCGTGATCATGCAGGAATCACACTATTTCTACTTTCCCTCCCAAGTTCTTTCTTTAGTTTTGAGACATTTCCAGGGAACCCTCTGAACAGTGGAAAAGAACCAGTCCCCACTGATTCTCCAGTGTCTTTAATAATAAATACGGGCCGGGCTCGGTGGCTCAGCCTGTAATCCCGTACTTTAGGAGGCTGAAGTGAGTGGATTGCCTGAGCCCACGGGTTCAAGACCCGCTGGGCAACTTGGTGAGACCTCATCTCTACCATTAAAAAAAAATCAAAAAATTAGCCAGGTGTGGTAGCACGCGCCTGTAGTTCCAGCTACTTGGAAGGCTGAGGCGGAAAGATCGCCGGAGCCCAACGGGTCAAAGCTGCGGTGGCCGGGAGCGGCCACTGCACTCCAGTCCGGGCAACAGAGTGAGGCTCCAACTCAAAAATTAAATAAATAAACAAAATAAATTAATACGAGCAGGACCCCCCCAAAAACCCAGAATTTGTTTATTAAAAATTGTGTACTTATTCTTACATGTTTAAACTTCAGTCACCTTCAAAGGACTCTCCATTTGATGTAACACACCTATCGAGACACTTTTTCCACTGCTCAAAAAGGCTTTTGAACTCATCATCTTGATAGCTTTTAGTGCTTCTGTCAATTTTTTTTTGTTTCACCTCTTCCACATTAGCAAAATGTTTCTCTTCGAAGACTTTTTTCATTGGGGAAACAAACAAACAAAAAAAGTTGCTCGGGGCGAGATTGGGTGAATAGGGAAAGTGGGGCATGGAAGTCATGCTGTTTTTGGTCAAAAACTGCTGAATACTCAGTGTACTGTGAGCAGGTTGTTCATGTAAACCACCCATAGTGAAATGGGCAAACAGATTGAAAGAATCTCCAAAAAGTATTAGTAATTCACTGAAGCTGAATGCAGCTTCTTATAACAACACTAGCTGGTACACCGACGCCGATGGGTTCCTAGAGCACTTATCTAGCAGGGGAAGCCTGAACTATAAGGGACCTGCTCTCCAAAAGCTAATCCCATTTTTGGGGTCCCCTTTTGTAAACTCATTTGTTGGGGATAAGGGATTTTTCCTCGGCTTGTCGCAATTTAATTCCAGACTTCCCAGTATGTTTGAAGAGTCTGTTGTTTGGATTGAGACAGGAGGTGCCTGATCATGTATGCTACCAGGGAGGGAAAACACTCACTGATATGTTGGTATGGGTTTGTCTATGTGATTAGCTTTCCCAGTTGAGGGCTTAGGGAGTGTGTCTTGGGATACAATAACAGGGGCCCTCAAGTACTGAAGAAATGTATTGCAAGAACCAAAAATCTGAACAACAAAACAAACTACACACAGATTCTCTCTCTTTCTCACACACACACACACACACACACACACACACACTATATATATATATATATATGTATATGTATGTATTATCCCAGAGGCTGAAGGTAAGGACCAGCGATATGAGAATAATTTTTTTTTTAACTGAAGAGGAAGGAGGAAAAAATGAGGAGACTCTGGAATTAAATCTTGTCATATGTTTAAGTTAGCCTAAAACAAGTCTTACCTTTCAGGGAGAGTGTTCCCAATAATCTCCTTATAATGAGTCTATCTGAAAATCAGTATGCTGACTTTCCCCAATAATTTCTATCATTAATATACTCTCCTTCATCTTGTTTATTTTAAACCAATCATTCATGTCTTTTCACTTATTTCAGATGATGGGAAATGCCCCTTGAACCCTCAAAGGTAAGATGTAAATGTGTTACGATTGAGTAGATTTTGCTAGTTTGACATTCTTATTTATTTAAGTATGTCAGAATGATCATGTACAATATCTGCTTCAATTGTTTAAATCAAAATCTTACTTTGTTGCCCAGACTACAGTGCACTGGAACTATCATAGCTCACTACAGCCTCAAGCTCCTGGGTTAAGCAATCCTTCTGTCTCAACCTCCCAAGTAGCTGGGACTGTAGGTGTGTGCCACTACACCCAGATAATTTATTTTTATTTATATATTTTGTAGAGATGAGGTCTTGTTATGTTGCCCAGGCTTGTTTTGAACTTCTGGCCTCAAGTGATCCTCCTGCCTCAGGCCTTCCAGTGTGCTGGGATGACAGGCATGAGCTACCGTGCCCAGTCCCCTTTTTACAATGTCTTTTGCAGGGTCCTCTCTTCTATTCTGAATTAATATACACAGATAGTATATCCTGACTAAGCATAATGTTTTTAAAATCAACAAATGCCCTAGTTATAATATAAAATAGAAATAAAAAGGAAAGTGATTTATAATAAAACCAAAATGTTAAAGCTTAGGCGCTCCACGAGCAGACCCTGTGTGGTCATCAGAAGCTTGCACCTTCTGGTAAAATCACTGTGAAGGCAACAGCCATTCAGGAGACTATCAGGGGAGTATTATATTAGTGACTCAAACAGCATCAGAAGGGTTGCCAGCACCAGCCTAAATAACTCTGGTAAAGAGTTGTGAAACCTATTATAATCTCTCCTTAATTCATATGGCAACTGCATTCTAAAAGATGCAAAAAATGCTTAACATTCATATGAAAAGTAGTTGAGTTCTAGGCTCAAAACCTTTTAACCTATATGAATAATGAGTACATATTCCAGAGTTATGTAGGATATAGAACAATTCTTTTGTGTCCTGGGCCTACTTGGACATCCAGCACCCCTGACCCCTGCCCACTGTCAGTAGAACTCTTGATTATTATTAAAAAATTTAAATGCCCCCAGGGACTTATAGCCCCCTTTGAAAACTATTGCTGGATTATCAAGTATCAAGGTTGAGAATTTTGTCACTATTTCTTCTCACCAAGAAGAGGCTGCAGCCCCCTAGCGGGCATTAACAGGCATTCAGTACACAAAGCGTTAACTATAAGTTAGTGTGGATGTAAAATGCAATACAAGTTATCCAGAAATGTTAAGTAGGATCTTTAATATATCTTTGGCATTTTTGTTTCCTTTTGAAAGCAGAATGCTAGGGGTGGGCTGGTAACCGCGGTTTCTGGAGATGCTCTATGTTGGACTGTGTTGCTGAGGACTAAGCACAGGTCATCCTTGTGTTTCTGTTCTTTAGCCACCTGGGAACATATGGAGTTTTCACGAATGCTGCATTTGACCCGAGCCCTTAAGGTGAGTTCCCTATGAGGATATTTTTAAAGGAAATGCAACAGTAAGGAAAAAAGGAAGACAATAAAGCTTGACTTTTCTTTCTATAATCGTGTATTTAATTTTAAGTACACATTAAATTTTCAGGCTATGAAGGAAAATATGTTGGCAGTAGAAGCCAGGTATGGCAATGGAGTGGCAATAGAGAGTGAGTTCAAAGAAGGACTTCCATTTCCTGAAGGACAGAAGTCTGTGTTCTCACAAGACAGAACTTATTTCAGGATGGGTGACATTTCTGTTACCAGCTTCTAAGTGGTATTGACACTGTGGACTTGCCTGAGAAGTGAAAGTCAGGGAAATTTTTACTAACTTTTATGGAATCAATCCCCCATGCTACCTGCTGGAAAGACTAAAATAATCAGACACCATTCCTCTCCCAGAAGTTCAGTGGGTGTTTGGGTTTCCTACTAAAAGCTTGGATGGTAGAATATTTGAAATCTAGAAACAATCAATTATACTGAGCCTTGAGGGATAGATATTATAAACAACTTTATTTTATTCTTTTAAGAAAAGCTAATTATTTACATTTATTTTATCGCATTTTCAGAGAACTGCCCTTCTCCTAGTCACCTCATTCAACCTCCACAGGGTCCCGTTTGCGAAGAACATCAAGCTTCGTCCTAGACTTGACTTAACTCTACCACATTTGCTACAGTTTTCAATAAACACTCATGAATAGAGGACATGGAGTTTCCTTAGATTAGCTCTGGACCAGAGCGGAATTGTACCACCATCTGAGACTCTCCACACACCACCCCTTCCTGCCCCACTTCTCCTCCTCTGTCAACACAAGCCACAGAAGCCACGAGCCTGGAGCAAATGTTTCTGCAGTGGTCTCAGTGCTTTGGCTTGGCTGTCACATGAAATAGCAGCTAGCCAAAGAAACTGGAGCATCTGACTCACAAGAAGGCCAGACTGTGGAGAAATAAAAATACCTCTTGATTTGTGGATTAAAGGTGGACTTTCTCTGCTTTGTTGGAAGTCAGGTGGCATCTCTAACCTGAGGGAATTTCTGCAGGATCTTCTGAGGTCTCCAGTGGCGACCATGTATAAGACCTCGGACCTCTGCTGCTGACGCTTCCAGAGAGGCCTCTGGCTGGCACCGGAGGCTGCAGTGGACCAAGGATCAAGCCAGGAGGCCACATGTCACTGTAGACCTTCCTGCCACTAGTCACTCCCCCTTCAAGAGACCCAAAGACCCATATTCAAATGTATAATTAAAAAGATTCCCCCCAGATGCCATGTTCCTCTGTTCGATGGTTTGTTCAATAGTTGACCATCAATGTAATAATGCACAATTACATTTATTCCAATTTCAGCTCGATCCTCCAATCATTCAGCAAACATGTATCACACACACACACACCCCCCAGCCAAGAGAAAATCAGAGAAGCAGAATTGTCATCCCCTTAATGTTCTACAGGGAAAAACAAGGGTTTTATAAGTTCTTTAAATTCCATGTTTAGTGACTAGATGATTGAAATTTACACAGTGCTTACTTGTGACTGATACAGGAAATAGAGAGCCCCAAAATATAGTGATCTTGTCTCCATGAAATGCAGTGCAATGACTATGCCATGTAGACTATAAACACATAAACATGCTGATAAAAAAGCAATCTAACTAGAGGTTCCGGTAATTTTGCAAGAATTTTTGTAGTAACCTTGGGATGAGGGATACTTTGCTTCTATTTTATTTTTTATTTTTACTTTTTGAGTTGGAGTCTCACTCTGTCACCCAGGCTGGAGTGCAGTGGCACACACACGATCACCCCAGTGTTTGACCCACTGGGCCAGCAATCCTTCCTCCTCAGCCTTCCAAGTAGCCTGAAGTGCAGGTATGTGCTACCAAGCCTGGTTAATTTTTTATTTATTGTAGAGATGAGGTCTCGCCAAGTTACCTGGGCTGGTCTCAAACCCATGAGCTCAGACAATCCACTCGCCTCGTCCTCCCAAAGTGCTGGGATTACAGGCTGAGCCACTGAGCCCAGTCATACCTTGCTTTTAAAAAATTCCCCTGATACCCTGCCAATAGCTTCTCTACTTGTTATATGTCGGTTGGTATTACAGGACTATGGCCCTAAATCCTATCACCTGAGCCAGAGTCTGGATTCTGTAAAAGCTCTCCAGAGAATTCTGGTGATCTACTAACTTTGGGAACCACTAATATTGTATATAAAGAAGTGTAAGGCATTGTTTCTGTTCTTTTTTTTTTTGGAGTCTCACTCTGTCACCCAGGCTGGAGTGCAGTGGCCACTCCCGGCCACCACAGCCTCGACCTGCTGG